GCTAAGCTGTTTGCAAACTCCAGAACTAAGTCTAAAGAGCTGCAAGAAGATCTTCATAGAATAGAGCAATGGGCAAAAACCTGGAGCATGAAACTAAACGAAGAGAAATGCACGGTACTCAGTATTGGAATAAACAACACAATTACACCCTAAACTCGTTCATTTATTGTATCCAAAAAGCATTTTCAGACCAATCAATGGACACCATATTGAAACTATATAAAACTTATATTAGACCAAAACTTGAATATGGCCAAACAATCCAAACAATATGGAGCCCCTACTTTGTAGAGGACATCAAGCTTTTAGAAAAAGTTCAAAGACGTGTAACAAGAATACCACCAGAATTATCACAGTTAGACTATACTACAAGACTACAAAGACTAAAATTGACAACTCTACTAGAAAGGCGTTTAAGAGGAGATCTTATTGAGACCTACAAAATTTTAAAACCATATTACAACGCTACCTACTCTCAATATCTTCCATGCGAATGCAAACTTACACCTTCGAAGACACAACAAAAAACTTGACAAGGAGAAGAAGGCAAAATACCCCGTAAAAACTTTTTGATAAATGACAAATAGAATGGTCTATCATTGGAATGCATTATCGGAAAACACTGTGAGCGCTCCAAGTATTAACTTATTAAAAAACAGACTAGATAATCAGCGGGAAGTGGCCGAAGTGCTGACATGACTCGTCGCTTTTCTGACAAATGGCCGTAAGCGACAATATTTCTAAAATACAGATTATTCCATGAAAATATCTCCATGGAGTATATATATGATTTGACCAACGGGCGCATCTGTATAAGTAATACTTTCTCCATTAGAACGTGGTTGGTACGGGCGGAAGCGACATTAAAAGTAACCGCAGGATCTTACTAAAAGGCGTATTTCCCGAAAACGGATTTACGCCTTTTTGTCAGATTTCCAACTAATAATGTTTGGCTGATGTGCCCCCGATGAGCTTTAACTTCGCACCGGCAATCATATAGCAGAAATTCATTCATAATCATTTCAGTCGCTTCCTGTGGCATTTACCCTGCAAGGTTTTCTACATTTTCCTGTTGAAAGTGAAGATATTAAGAGTTTGAGTCTGCCTTTTATTGCAGTGGTATCTTTGTATAGGTAAGCTATCAGTACTTATAAATAAAAACAACATGAAAAAGAGGGCACGCACCCTAAGAACAGAAGGAAAAGCATACGTGAGTCCCTTTTTGAAAAAGCAAGTTCCGCAAAGACTCATGAAGCCGCGATGTGATTCTCAAAAATATAAAAATGAGGGCTGCAAGTTGTTTGCTGAGGAAGAACGTCAGAGAATATTTCATGCTTTCTACAATACAAAGAGTCTCCACTTACAAAGGGAGTTCATTGTACGTCATATCAATGAGAATGATGTTAAAAGGAGAAGAACTGCTGCAACAAAGTCCAGAAGAACAAGGACTTTGGCTTATTGCTTACCAAAAGGCAGAGGAATATTACCAGTTTGTAAAATTACGTTCCAGAATGCACTGGCAGTTTCCGAAAAAGCAGTTCGGATGGCAATAAGCGCATGAGTACGGTGGAAGGCATTCGATAAACGTGTAGAGCGTTGCATTATGGAAATTTGAAACAAAAAGACGAATTTATGAGAGCCTCAGCTCTGGCTCACATACAAAAGTTCCCAAAAATGGAGTCGCACTTTTGTAGAAAATCGACTTATATAAAGAATATTTACCTCCCGACTTAAACGTGAAGAAAATATTTAACTTGTACCAAGAAGAGAGCCTGGAGCAGCCAAAATGCAGCTACCATACTTACCGTAGAGTATTTAAATCACTGAATCTGTCCTTCCACCATTCCAGGAAGGACCAATGCCAGTCTTTGTTTGTGGTACAGGGCAGATGATGCAAATAAAGAATTACAGCTTCGAGATGCATACACTGCACATGTCGCCGAGAAAAATACTGTGCGCAAAAAGAACGAGAAAATGTCCAAAAACAATCCGGATTTATTAGCTGCTGCTATTTTTGACATCCAACAAGTTATTCAGTTACCTATAAGTAAAGAAAATGCATGAAATTTCTACATGCGTTGGCAGATATTTACACAACTGAACAACCAAGGAATAAAAGAAGTAAGGCTCTTCGCAGATAGTTGTGGTGGCCAGAACAAAAACACAATCGTTTTCACCATGTTACTAAAAGCTGTCGCAAATTCGGAAAACATACGTGAAATTGTGTTGTCATTTTTTGAAACAAAACATGGGCAAAATGAAGGGGATTCCGCCCACAGTTCTATTGCAAGAACAATTCGGTCCGCCGGAAATATCCATATATCAGCACAGTTACCCCCCATCTCCAGACTTGCCAGAAGAAATTTGCCATACACGGTTTCTGAAATGACTACTGAAGAATTTCTTGATTACGTATAAATCATTGGCTGAAAAAATCCGCCTTCGCGTAACCAGAAAACTGGACTCTGGTGAAAATGTCGACTGGACCAAAATTAAGGAATTATTGGTGAACAAAGATGACGTCACTGTAGTAAATAGGTATTAAAAAAAGTCACCATGATGCTGGAATATCAGAAACTGCCACTACAAAGACTACCACCTGATGTGCTTCGAAAACCTCTATAACCAAATCAAACAGTGGCCAGATAAAACTGCCTGCAAATTAATACAAAGATTCTTCGAAGACCTTTCCCATGATTGAATTAATAAGCTTCTCGCTCTCTTTTTTTTTCAGAATAATAGTTATTTATGATATAAGTGTTAAAAGTACATTTTTAAGGCACGCATGTGCTGCTCATTCTGCAATTCACATAAGTGCCTTAAAAATACTTTTAACACAAATATCATACAATATTTTTTCTACAAACGGCAATAACAAGCAATAACCAGTGACAAATTGAATTTTTAAATGAATAATAAATTGGAAGCATCTTTCCTACGTAAAATTATTGAATTTGATATTTGTCAAAAAATTCAAACAACCAGCACCTTGTTTTACAGGTAATGAAATGTCTCGTCAGTTTCTTGAAAGTCTGTCGTATGGTCTATCGTGGTCAATAAGTTTTTTGCTAAAAATGCAACAAAATACACAAGAAAAAGAGGGCTGCATCAATCCCTTGAAAAATATAGAGAAGGCGGCCGATGGAGCTTCCTCAGTTGTTCAAATTTTACCATTAATATTAATGTAAATAATTAAAAATACAAACTTTTTTTGACGTTTGCTTTCAAATTTTGATGTTTCATTTTTAACACTAGTGCCTTAAAGACTTTTAACACTAGTGCAATAAAGTAACATTTTTAATCCTTCGAGGGGGTGTTAAAAATTGCATTTTTAACACGTTTGTAGAAAAAGTTATTTATTTTATTACTTATGATTTACACGGACACACCGATCTTTTTTTCAATGTTAACTTTTGTTTGTGTTTCGTTTATACTGTTTTTTTTTTTTTTTTGTTCTTTACCGCAGCTTATTAATATTGTTTTGTTAAGTGCAGTACTAGGCAAAAGTGAGATAATAGTAATATTCAGATCTGACGAAGGGACGTATGTCCATCTGAGTCATTTATCATGTTCGCCTGAAATTTCTTGAATTCGAATAGTACTTGGAAAAAGTATGTGTATATTTATCTGTCTGTACAAAATATCATCACTGGAACTGCCTTCCAATTAAGAGAAACACGGCACCATGTATATGGTACATTTTCTCTAAATGACTTTTCAGACAAATAATGTTTATGGTGCTTACGCCCATTTGTCAGATTAGCGACGAGTGTGAACATTCATTTCGGACTGTTACGCGTACTCTTGGGCGCTCCTACCCTATTGACCTTTCTATTGAGAACAGGTTCAACATGGGGTAAGTGGAATTTACAAACTTTCTTATAGTTCTTGCAATTCCTCATATATAGGCAGGACTTGCAGAGCTTTGAAAACTCGCATCAATTAACACATGTCGAAAACCAACTCAGCATTTGGTGAGCACTTCCGCACCTCCAGACCTAACTTTGATACGAGCAGTTTATTCCAAAAATTTCAACAGACTTGACTTGCTCGAGGACTTTGAGATTAATAGGAATAGGGAACTTGAAGATAGTAACCATTGTCTCAACACTTAAATTAAATAAACAAGCTGGATATTTTGAACTTCCCATAATTTGTATGTGTCATGTTCTGTGTGTGTCATTTCGTTGTGTTCATGCAACGCTGGCGTAATTGTTCTCTCACTGAATTTTTCATGCAGAATGGTTAAGGTGCTACGTTGCTTTTTTTTGTTATGTACCTACTTATTCCATCGTCTGTTTTGGACCTTATCGAAAGTGGCCCCAAGTATCTCGCTGTAATATTTCAGCTCAATCCTGTTTCCTTCCACATCGAGTTTCGTATTCTTTACTGAGTCTTCTGTCAAGAGTGGAACCTGTCTACAGAACTGGTCATCTGGTCGTCCAGTTGTCTAACGCTGTGAACCACTTGCCTCTTAGTCTTCTTTTGAAATCGTCCAAGTTGTGTATTTCCTTCTCCTAAACGTGTTTCTATGATAAATTTTACTGGATTGAGATCTTAAGTACAATACTTTAGAACGACTACGTCCAGAGAGTGGCCACGTCGGTGGATCTGGCTCTTCATGTTGCTGACGATTAGCAATCTCCGTTTCCATTTCCAATGTTTGAGTTCCAGGCTGGAAAAATCTATTGGGATCTCCAGTGATCATAGCGCAGGATGTTTCTTCTAGCAAATCCCGGATTTCTTCTTTCAATATCCGATGTTTTGAAAGTAGTAATAAAGCTAACTGAAGCTACTATCCTCCCCTTTGGCTTTCAATGGCTTTTAAGAAAACAGTGTCTTGTTCTGACAGAATGTGTATTTGTATAATCGCTTTGAAAGCCATACGCATTAACGCCATACAGAATGAAAACCACTTTATGAAATGTTCTCAAATGTTATGCGGGAACTAAAACGACTATTTGAAATCTAAAAGCCATAATTCACCTCTCAATTTTTAGGCTCACCGATGCGCATAGAAACGCCATAAGGGCCATAAGAAAATTCAAGTATTTCGTGGCTAGACGTAAATTTCAGCAGGCACGTAAGCCCTATGACGTCAGAGATGTCATTGAGCAGTACAGTCAGGGTCATTTGAATATGATGGTTCGAATAAAGGTATAAGTAATTGGAAAGGATAACGCACGGCGAACGAGGGATTTTTGGGCTCTATGGATTTTGCCAATTTAAAGCAAAAAAGTCCATGTTTCAACGCTTATATCTCACAAGATTTGGTCCCATTTAAAGGATGTTCAAAATTAAATTATCTATGACATATGAAAAAATTGGCAAAATCCATTGAGCCCAAAAATCCCATGATAATCTTGCTCCAATCACTAGTATTTTTTTTAGGAGCTTCAAAGAAGACTGGATCAAACCCTTGGAAAACCTGGAAGTTACATGGCTGGCACCGATAAAGCTGGCCACAGAAAGCCTATGACTGTAGGAGCCAGATTATATACTGTGGAGCATCAATTATGCGAACTACACAAAAAAATCGACGTTATAATCACTAAAGTTTCAAATCTTGAACCAAAGAATAATGATAACGTAACTTAGAGTAGGTACCTATGTCACAAACCTAACTTAAATTAGTGTTAAAATTGACAATCAAAAGTTTAATTTTGTTGTGATGGAAAAAAATTGCATATTATTAAGCACAATCACAAACTTATGAATTTTTAGTATTATTAGATATGTGATCAAATTGTTCATATAGTATTTTCAAGAAGTTTTTGTTGATAATCTAGTTTTTAAGTATTTAATGCAATAACCAATGGTTTACTAATACCTACACATAGTGGAATTCAAAAATCATTTTTAGGCAAATAAATAAATAGATTGTTTTATCATATATAATTTTATTTAAAAAAATCCAACATTGCAGTTAAAGCATCAAACTAAATGAAAATTTAACATTGAAACACAGCTTAAAATATTTACTTTCACATAGAATTTATCTGTTTTCGAGACAATCCAACATTGCAACCTAAAACTTTAAAGACATAAGTACTGGAAAATGTTCCTCAATATTTTCAGGAGCAAACTATATTCACAATTAGTGTCAAGCTATACCCATATAGCTACAAAAAACAACATAATAAATATCAATTAGCTTAAAATAACGTAACCATTTCAAAGAAGTAGGGCTTCTCCTCTAGATTAGATCTCTGTAAAGTTAACAGTGCTTTACTCATGTTTCTAATCCAGGAACTTGATCTAAACGCTCCTAAATCGTAGACAATATAAAGGTTCAAGGAAAATATTACACACACATGCAGCTTTGTTTGCAGAACTAGTTCCGTGAACAAACCTTTTGTATCCATCACAATTTGGTGTTGGGCATGAGCACTAATAGATATAAATATTTGAAATTTAAAGACCATCATATATTTTTTTTGCAATAATGAAGTTGACTACATGAAATAGTTTTGTTTTTGTTCAAAGAGTATTTTTATTATATACAGGGTGGCGTGAATAAATTGGAAATTAGCTACAAACATTATAGGTAATATAGAAGTAAAGCTTCAATTAACGTATTTTGGCTTTTATACACACATTCGTCGTATTGTACGGTAATTAAGGCTTTCTTGTATGTCAACCGCGTGACCTAATATAATAGATGACACAAAACCAAAGAAACAATGAGAATTTGACAGTGAGCCATCAGGATTTACAAATTATAAAAAACTTATTGCATGCATTAGAAACTAATGTATTCTTCAAGCTCACTCTATCTTCTCTCCTTTCTTACCAACTGGTATTGCTGACTTAATCCTAGAAAAAAAAAATTAGGTATAGTATAGAGAGGCGTTGATTAAATAAATTTGTTATGTCTGAAGTATAAGAAGTAATAGTGAAGTGGACAGTGGACACTGTCTATATAAAAAGTATTCTATGGTACAACCAAAATATAACTTACTTGGCAGCAAATTCAGCAATTTTCTTTTGCACAATTTCCAAATTGGCATCAATTTGAGTTTGATTTGCTTCGTAGACCTTGGGAAGAGTAAATAGAGTCACCCACACTTAAAAAAAAAATTGAATCAATAAGGTAAATATGAAAATTCAAAAACAGTTGCTCACTCATAATGACAACGGTCATTCCGTTGAACCAAGCGCCCAAATAAGTGAGTACCCACAAAAGTACGCCGAACTTGATAGAGTCCACTAAGTCCTCGACCAGCAACAATCTTCTGAGTTCAATGATGGCGGCGTTCAGATGAGCTACGACCACTTGAGATATTGCCTGAGCTTTGTCTTGGGACACGGAAATGTCCAAGTCCAAATATTGTCTGAAAATAAATCGGGAGATTATTCATTTAATACAATCAATGCTAACCAAAAGAAAAAATATTTATATAAGGAAAAAAACAAAGTGTATTTCATGCAAAATTAATTTTTTTTTGAAATTCAGCGTAATAGAGCGCTTCCGGCTTTCGCCATCATCAGTACTACCTGCAAGCGAACGGAGAAGAAATTCATAATAGAGCAGTTGTGAATATCTATATAATAAAAAAGTAGTTGTAATTTTTTTTTGTAAATTCTTTCTTTTTACTCACTTGGGATTACTTAAAAGCATTACGAATTACGTAATGCTTTTTATGCTCGTCGTCGCTGTCCTTTTACAATTTTAACTTCTGTGTCGGAACCCGACAAGTGAGTAAAAAGAAAGAATTAATAAAAAAAATTACATCCACTTTTTCATTATACATATTTACAACTGCTCTATTATGAATTTCTTCTTCGCTCACTTGCAGGTAGTACTGATGATGATGGCGAAAGCCGAAAGCGCTCTACTGTTAACTATTGTTGAGACACTGGAAGCGGAGAGGGAATCTTATGAACTGGAGCTGAGGAAGTTGAAAAATGAGATGGTGAAATCAGGATCTCTAATAGAGTGTTTAGAGCAAAGTAATACAAAAGAAAAAAATAGGGTTTTAGTATTAGGAGATAGTATGGTAGTCATTTCAGGGATATTCTGGATAAATATGTAAACAATAGTTTTATAGTCAGATCACAGATTAAACCAAATGCGCCACTGGATGAGGTTGTTGCTAGTATTATGATTGATACGAAAGGTTTCACTAATAAAGATTTTGTAATTGATATGGGTGGTTCATGGAGGTTGCAAATTATACAAATGTACTAATGTATAAGGTGCTGCAATTTGGAGTGTTTTGACAGAAAAAACATACTTCCAGATCAGATAGAGGAAAATTGACTTAGATGTCATGGGATTGATTTTCGAGAAACGTCAATTGTCAAAAACCGTATCGCGATATCTTCAATGGTAGTGAATGGTATCATTAATAAAGGGCGATTTTCGATTTTCCCCTATTATGAAAAATAGCTATAAGTTTTTTGTTTATCAATTTTTTTTATTTCTGTGGAAACATCTTTCAACTTTTGGGATACTATTTTGAGCACAATCCAGTAGCGTACTCAGTTTTTTTTCTATTTCGCTCCCATTTTGAGATATTGACCAAAGTCCGATTTTTTTAAATCGGACACCCTATATTTTAATAGCTCATTGGATAGCTCTGCATTTGCCAATTTCAATGATATAAAGTTCGATAGGTTTATCTCTAACAAATTTCGAGAAAAAAAATTATATTTGTTTCAGTCATAAGAAACAATGTGTTAGAAAGAGACCTTCCTCATTTTCCTTACAGATATAAAATCCTTTTCTAACATAGTGGTCCTTATGACAAAAACAGATAAAATTTTCTCGAAAACTGTTAGAGATAAACCTATCGAACTTTCTATCATTGAAATCAGCAAAAATAGAGCTATCCAATGAGCTATTAACATATAGGTGTCTTATTTAAAAAAAAAAATTATTTAAAAATATCGGACTTTGGTCGATATCTCAAAATCGGTGCGAAAAAAACTGAGTAAGCCGCTGGATTGTGCTCAAAAAAGTATCTTCAAAATGTTTTTACAGAAATAAAAAAAATTGATAGATAAAAAACTTATAGCTATTTTTCATAAAAGGGGAAAATCGAAAATCGCCCTGTATCAATGGTACCATTGAAGATATCGTGATACGATTTTTGACAATTGACGTTTCTCGAAAATCGATCCCATAACATTTAAGTCAGTTTTCCTCTATCTGGTCTGGGAGAATGTTTTTTTCTGTTGAAACCTTCCAAATTCCAACACCCTGTACACAGTGCCTTCATGGAATAATAACATATTTCTTAATAATTTGGTTAATGAGCAAAACAAATTTGTTAATAATGAATTATGTTTGGGAAGTAAGCTTGCACAGTTTATTCATTTCAATTCTATTAATGATTCCTCAATTATACATTGGGTCATTGAATTTAAAGACAATGGGGAAATAATAATTGTCAAGGAATTAACGGGAAGGGTAATTCAAAATGGCAGAGAAAGAGTGAATTGCGCCAAGTGTCAAAACAGGGCATATGATAATAATCGTTAAGTCTGTTTTTTTTTAAAGATAAAAGTCAAAATGACATTATGTTGGCAATACAATGTAAAATTGTCAATGCTTTCAAATTTTTATGTAGAAAAGGCTTGTGTTGCCAACATAGTTACTAAATTTTTGACTTGGGGAATTATCTTTAAAAAAAAAACCGATTTTAGCAACGGTTTTTTACGCAAAGGCCATGTCTTAGAAATAACAAAATAACATTAATTAACTCTCAGAGTCTTCCTTCAAAGTTCGATGAGATTCATAATTTTATATTGAGGACAAATCTCTTATTAGTCTGCTTAACGGAAACTAGGATTACTGAGTATTTTGAGTTAGGAATTGTAGGATATGATGTTATAAGAGTAAATAGTGAAAACAGGCACACTGGCAGTATTGCCGTATTGCTGTGTATTTTAGAAACGGTATAAAGATTAGGAGTGTTGATAGAATGAATAGACAAAAAAATTACTGGTTTCTTGCAGTTGAGTTGAATATATGGGGTAAGAATTACTTGCTGGCTGTATTATATCATTCACCCAGTGCAAGTGACACAGAGTTCTTGAGTTTTTTTGAGCAATGGTATGAAGGCATAATAGATACTGATCTGGTGGTATTGATTAGAGATGTGAATGATTCTATCACTATGACCGAATCATCTTAGATTATTGAAGGATCGAATCCCGTTCACTCGCAATGATCGAATCACTGGTTAGTTAACCGGTAGGCGTGCGCCGCTGCAAAAACATCGTTCATTTCAGTACCGCACGTATGATATCGAACGCCTGGCCAATTTTGCTCGCAATGATATTGTAAGGACCCGGGAAAAATAGACCCGTAATTTACAACCCACATAACAGTGAAAGAACATTCATATTCTCAGAATATTCCCTCAAAGTGCTTTTTGGAATGTTCTTTTAGGAATGTTTAATGTATATTCTTAGATTGTTTAGATTGAAATATTCATTTTTGGACGTTCTATTTATGTACTAGGAATGTTGCTTCTATGCACCTACCTGAAAGATTGTGCTAAGAACATGGTTTATATAACATTATCTGAATATTGTCACACGAACATTATTATAATGTACCCTAAAAAATGTTCTTTCGGCTAATATCTCTATCAAGTATCAAGAATATACCTACCAAGTTGTGCTGAGAAGTTTATGTAGGTAAGTACCCATGATAAGAATATTTCCATATTGTTCACCTAATTATCTAAAGTACCTACTTAAAAATCTTAATTGAACAATTAAACAATAATGCTCTATCTAGAACCTACTAAAAATATTATAGGTATATTCTTTTTCTTTTGCTTTGTAGGACTTCCAAGAGAGGGAGCCATGCGCTAATAATGATCTACATCTTGCCTCGCGTTTGAATCACCTTGGAACCTGTTTCTCTCAGTTGGCGTGCTTACCGCGACGAGCGATGAGAGCATAATAAGCTCGAAACCGGAGCTTTGGTTAAACACTTGTGTTTTCCAGAGAATTTTTCCAACAACTCTTTCACTGCCTTTAATATAAAAGGACTGAAAGGAGCATTATTTGGTTGGATGCGAAAATTAACATTCCAAGTATATCCCTACTAGGGATGGCAAAATAAAAAAATATATCGATATATCGAATCATATGATATATCGAAATAACATATCGATACATTCGATATATCGTACAAAAAACATCGATATTTTGAATAAATCAATATATATTTTATTTTTCTATTTTTTCTACAAGCGTGCGAAAAGTGCTTTTTTTCTGCAGGCGTTTTAGGCCATGAAAATATCACTTTTCCGCACTAGTGTCGAAAAGTAAAATAATTATGCAAGTTTAGGTTACCCTGATACTTCAATGTACTTTTCCGGACCATCGTAGAAAAATAACTTTCCGTAATCATGCGAGAAGTTTCTTTTCCTTATTCAGTTGGTACGTACACGCCCTAACTGACGTTTCTTTTATTTTAGCCGCCACTGTCAATTGTCAGACTGTTACAGTCAACAAATGAATTATGCGCTAGAGCCAAGAATTATTTTAAAATTTCTGATATATCGAAAAGATTATATCGATATTTTTTATGATATATCGAATGCAAAATATCGATTAAAATATATCGATATATTTGAGTAATTTTTACAAAATATCGATATATTTTTTTGCCATCCCTAATCCCTACTAGAATCAAACAAGAATGTTATGTCTAGTGTGATGATCCAGAAATTTGACCCTATAATTACAAAGTCTTTACTGTAAAAAATTAAATTTTATCAAATAATCAAAAACTTAATTCCGGTATTCTTAAATCAGTATCGATAAATTAAAAATGAAACAAATTAACGCTAACGTATCTCGACATCCAGCGTGATGTCATCCTAAAACTCGATCAATGAACTTTTTTGTTAGCGAAGGCCATGCGTATCTAATTAATTCGAATGATATATGGCATTCTTGAACCCATAACGTTTTGACCTTAATAAATCAGAATATTGCGACATAATTAATCGTTTTCAGGCTAAAAATGATACAAAATTCCAAGGAAATTGCATCATCTTAATTGTCATGGACAAAGAGATTTGGGGTCATCGATTTTATATAAAAACCGCGGTTTCAGTTGCCGGTGGAACAGTTGCCAGTTACCAGCAGTCCAGTCCAGTTTGAGTTAAAGTCTGTCCGTTTTCGCGAAAAGTTACTTTTATGGCGTATGGCCTCGGGTATAATTTGACTTAGTAAAAGTACGAAAAATCGTGAAAGAAATAAGATTTGAAATTCGTTCAATAATTATGTGCGGGCTCTAAGTAATCAAAAGAATTAAATTAGAATTAGTTTTGTGTTTTATGGACAAAATGTAAGTACTCTATAG